AAAATTTGATGCATGTATCAAGTACACATAATCACTGCATTGCACACCTTGTATGCTATTTTCTGACAAGAATGCTGACAGCATACCAGGTTTTATTGGGAGTTCACTGAAAATACTAATTGAGACTAGTGTGCTCAGCGGCCAACTATACCCAATTAGGCTGTCAATCACCAAGATTGCACCTTTTGACAGCAGTAACTCTACAACCAAAGCACCTCATAACAAGGCAAGGGCATGTTTGAACTCCTGGAGTTTTGGTCTACAATATCAGCCGAAAAGGTCAACAACTTTTTTCCTAACCCTTACCCCCATTTGCCTATTCATTGAGGAAAGAGAAGAGTCGGACACTGCAGAAGGGGAAGGAAAAAAAGAAGGAGCAAAACAAGGAACAGGGTCCTGCAGAGACCAAGGTCACCAACAAGAAACACAAGGAGCTCCTGCACGTCCAAGCAGAACAACAACTTGAGAACATTGGTCTAGTGGCACCTAAAGGTGCTCATATTGATGAACAGTTGGCCTATGTCTCCCTATTCAACAACAGAAGCAGCCAGAGCTTGATCAGCTGGCTCTTTGAACAGCCTTTGGGGCAGCAGGACTTCTACACCAGCAGTGTGCAGCCCTATAAGACTGCTACAGCAATGGTAGCCAACGCATGCTCCCTTGGAAATCTGCAGTCACAGCGCCATGCTATGTACTTCCTACAGGAGTGGAGAAGAACAGGATGTCCTGTGTCAGGCATCTTTCCTGGCCCTTTAACTCAGGTATCTGCTACATCTGCTAGCAGCACTCAAAAGCAGCAGCAGCTTGTCCCGAGCCAGGCTGCTCAGAACACCCAGCTGCTAGCTGCTAGCCAGCAATTCAGCAGCCTATGGCAGTTCCTGATGCACTTTGATGCCAATGCAGGGGCTTTGCAGATCCAGTACTGGTGGGCCATGGCCCAGCTTGCTAAGCTCTACAAAGATTGAGTAGCAGAGCTAGAGAGTAATGAGCCAGGATCCAGCTCAGGCCGCAGACGACAAGGAGAAGGCAAGATCAGGACCCAAGCCAAGAATGAGATGCTTCAGGGAGTGCCTGATGGAGAGAGGAAGGCCTTTACTGTGCGTCTTAACTGGGCAGGCCGCTACCTTGATGCAGCTGAGGAGCTTGGCTGGACTTCCCTCCTCTTCATCCCTTATGAGACTATCTCAAGGCACTGGATTGAGCAGACTTTGGGCAAGAAGGAGTGGCAGCTGTGGCTACAGCTAGTAGCAAAGGTCAACCCTGTTGCTATAGAGGCTTTTGGCATAGGAGACCAGTGGCTTGGGAGCAAAGCACTTGCTGGTGGCTCTTTGGAAGGAAAGACTTGCCTGTTCATGGAAGGAGGCCTACCTCAGCCCCTGCAGTCTGCAGAAGAAGGTTCAGAGGAAGAGGATGAGGATGAGGATGAGGATGATGAGGAAGACAATGAGGGAGAAGGAGGAGAAGAGGGAGATGAACAGGAGAAACAGCTTACCCTGCTTGATCTGATCAAACCTGTAGGTTAGTTTATCTGGGGTGCTTGATATAGTAACAGCCTCCTGTGTCACTGTCAGATTAGTCAAGCACATCCTCTTTAGCCTCCCACAAGAGATTCCAGACAGACATTACCTGTGAGTACCAACAGGCAGATCAGCCTTTAATCTGGCAAGATCAACTGATACTAGTTAGAGTGCCTTGGGTGCATGCTAGCTGACATGTTTACAAGCAATATGCAATGTAAACAAGCTCAGTAACTTCTGACTGACAAATAAACATTCAAAGGAAGAGCATAGCACTTCTTCAAGGACTACAGGTGGTACACTGTACAGTTTTTGAGCTCCTACTAGGATCTGTAGTCCCAGATCTTTGT